ACACTTTATTATGTGAGGTACATGACAATAGCACTTACTGTTCCACCTTTCTCTGTGACTTCTTTCAACTTTGACCTTGTCATCTTTGGCTCCTAAGGAAAAAACAAGCAAGTCATTGACATGATAGTTTTTTTTTGAGCAATACTATAACAAAGGTGAAACCAGTCAGCCAATTTGAATCTGACCACGACTGATGTATAACCACAGTCAGCTGGCGCACACGTGATAATATAATAAATACGATATTTACTATATGGGGGTCGCCATCTTGAATGACGCATAAAACTAAATAAGAGACTAAAAATAGAAACTAAAAATTGGCATTCCAGCACAGCAGCCAATCAAACGGCCTAACGCTTAGATGGCAATTTCGGTTTTAAATACCTCGGCTTAGTGTTCTAGGTTCTTCGCGTAATTAGGTGTTCGTATGCAAGGGATATTTCCGCACAAAAACGACGAATTCGGCTGAATTTTGTTATCGGTTGGTTTAATATAACCCCAACGGACCGTATTTTTATGAAAGATTGGTATTTTTGTCCTGATTTGTAGGAATCTGGAAAACGTGTTTCACAACTTGTCTCTTATTTAGTTTTATGCCTCATTCAAATTGGCGGCCCCCATATAGTAAATATCGCATTTATTTTATTATATCAGATGTGCGCCAGCTGACTGTGTGTATAACTTATTTGTAAAGTTTGGTTTGAACTGAGTGCCTTTTGAGCATCCTTAATAAAATCACAAAACATACATGTGCATATGTGTGACACCATGTATAATGTAGTTGAGAAGTAGATTGGTAAAGGCATGTCTCTTGGAGCATCATTCACTGCAACAAATCTAAATAAAACATAGCCTAACTATTACAGCTTTGTTCATTGAGAATCTTGATTAAACAAATGAATGAATGGATACAAATAATGTGATACTTTTCATTGCATGCCAAAAGAGAATAAAAACATCCTAAAACAATGTAATATCTAAATATTTGAGAGGAAAATACTGGCAACAATCTTTACTAAAAATGGACAAGAACAATAAAGTCATCACAGTCACATTAAAAATTAATTAATATTTATGTTCCTCAAATAATACTTCATGTACTGTATTAATCTCAATGTTTCTTAAAAAATAATATAACATGAATTGTACAAAAGTTCCTAAACAAGCAGTGTACGTGATATAGCTCCACTGTTACAAATGCATAATAAGAATAAAATTACAGTCTTTAAGCCTAGCCGTTTTGAAGATAACATGAATATATGTATCAATAATTAACTAATAATTAACAAAAAAGATAAAATTGTTCGCTATAGCCACTAAATGAAGTAATCTGATAGAGGAAGAAATCATATCAATCTAACAGTGAGCCATCTAAAGTGACTACACACAATATATGAAAATATGTTTTTCACCAAAAATAAAATATTATTAAGTATTCACTAAAATTAGAGAACTAAATTATTGTCATGAAAATCAACAAATCTGGGAGGTAAACCCAAGTCACCTAATAAAATATCAAGGCAAGCTGTTTACAGTAAGAAATGAAAAACAGCATTTTTACCAAAAATATTGATTAATCAAATTAGAGAATTGAAGGCATCATCACAAAATGAACAAATCTGATTTCCACCTATAATGTCTAGATATAAAATACCAAAGCAATTGTCTACCAACAAGTGACATAGCTATTTTTGTAGAGTATCTTTCTCAAAACAAAGTTGAGAAAGTTATGTACTATGAGATATTTACTATGACAAATTGAGCAGATTTAAGAAGAAATAGAAAACTGCATTTTTTATCAAAAATGACAAAAATAGAGAATTGAAGATGTTGTCATGAAATGAACAAATCTGTCAGAGGTACACCCAATTTACCTACATATCAATTACTACTTTCAAAATTGGTTGGTTAGTCAAGATAGCTAATACAAAACTGCTATTAGCACAATGCAAACATTGAGTCACTTGGCACAGGAAGAATGATACCGTAATATTATTCAAATTTATGTAACAAACTGAAAAATGCTATTGTATATACACAACATGTTTTTCCTGATATCTAATCTATGTGATGGTAATGTTTTCTTTAGAATAATACTTTTTAATTTGAAATTCTTCTACGGTGGTGAAAGTGAGTCAGCGTAGCCAAATCAAATTATAATTCATCACTGCAATGTTGCGAAGGGTAGTGAAAGCCCTGTAATCTGATGGTCTTAGTAGCTATAATGTATTTTCAATTTTGACAAATGCTTAATCTTGACTATAATACATACGTAGACAGCAGGTTCCTGATCTGACTTGTGTCCAGTTGTCTGTTCTTTCATTGTATTTCTAACCATCGCCAGCACATGTTCATTAGTTATAACATGCTGTCAAGTGAAAATAATAATTAACACAAAGAATCTAGCCAATATAAGTTTGGTAAATAAATTGAAAAAAAAGACTAAGGCAATACATCAGAATATTGTCTACTAGTATTACATATATTCCTTATATTCTGACTCATCGATGAGAGTAGGTGAGTTTACATCAATACTTACATGTAATATACTCTTTACATTGATGGCAGTCAAATGGTTCTTATCAGCATTGGCCTCTAACTGTCTGTCCAATTCCTCATCTATTTCTAATTCATCTCCTGTCTTTTCTTTTGAGGGTGGTGAGTTAGGAGAGTGATCAGATACAGTTTTCTTGGGTGTTGAGCATGGAAGGTGATCAGCTACAATTTTCTCTGGTGTTGAGCACAGAAGGCGATCAGCTACTGATTTCTTGGGTGTTGAGCATGGAAGGCGATCAGCTTCTGGTTTCTTGGGTGTTGAGCACAGAAGGCGATCAGCTTCTGATTTCTTGGGTGTTGAGCACAGAAGGCGATCAGCTACTGATTTCTTGGGTGTTGAGCACAGAAGGCGATCAGCTTCTGGTTTCTTGGGTGTTGAGCACAGAAGGCGATCAGCTTCTGGTTTCTTGGGGGATTTAATTCTGATTTTCACAATCTTCCGAGCTTTTTTATTTTTCTTACTACAAGACGTTATTTCAAGATTATTCATTTCATTTGATTTGTCATATTTAGGTGTTTTATCACTTGTGTTGGGAATCACTTCTCCATGTAAGTAATCAAGCTTCAGTCTTTTTTTGACTGATGATTTGGAGGCATGCTTTCTTTTTTTACTTCTTCTGACCTCTTGTATAACCTCATCAATAATAGCCACTGTTTCACTAGTGCCCGGTTCCAATGGCACCACACATGTCTCATACTTCTGCAATTCACCTTGGACTTTGCAATCGCCTTGACTGTCACTATGAGACTGTGTGTAATTTTGAAAGCTATCTGCTTTGCATTTTTCACCAACTTTACTGTTACACGTTGCCTTATCACCAACAACCCATTGGCGACTAGTGTCACGAGTTCTCACAGACTCAGACTGGTTGTTAAAATTAACATTACAAGTAGGAACGTCATTGATTGTAACACACCTTTCCCCACTACGTTGACAGCTGGCATCACCACTCCCAATATTTCTCTCAGCTTCACTCTGTGCTACCTTTGCCAACCATGCTTTTTTTGGTGATTCATGTACATGTATCCTCCCTTTCCAATTATCTGCCTTCCTGGAATATCTGCCATCTTGAACATTATCACCAGGTGTTTTAAACTCTTTTGACCCACTCCCATAAGGCGCTGGTTCAAACCTCACTGTTCTGTCTTTTGACATAGTTGATTATAGTGTCATGTTAATCCTTAATCAAAGCTCACATCACAATGTAGCAGATTAATAATGGATAAACCAGAGTCTAATAGAGATGCATCACGGATATCACCTAGAAAAATAGGAGAAAACACATGGAAAAGTTATATTTAGATATTCACCCGTATAGACTGGAACAGGAAAATATTTTTGTGTTAGCATGGAGTAGTCTATACTAGTGTATGGACTGTACATAGGGACAAGTTGATTAGCATAGGGAAAAGGGAGAGGTATAAATCTGAAAAAAAAAACATTGTTGTCTTGTTGCTTGTGATTTGTGCTGCCAATGTATGTTTTTTTTTAGAATAGAGAGGTATAAGTGGTGTTCTCACAAAATAAGCCATTGTCACAACGCCTTTTATTTGAGAACGTTGTTAGAATGCGTGTGTGAACAGAATACACCGTTGTGGCGTCGGCGTTTATGACATTGTCGCTTATGCACAACGCAATGTGCAGTGTGAACACAATACGATGGCCAAACGCCCTCTATCGCCGACTTATTTATGCTTGTCATTACACAAGATGGCGTCAGACACAACAAGTCGAATGTCGAACTGGTCAGACAAAGAAACGACATTACTGATATCTGTATGGAGAGCATTGAATATTCAAAGAATGATAGACAGATCGTCTAGGGATGCTAGAGTATACATGTATGCTGTGATTGCAGAGAAATCGGCTGAAAAGGGGTTGGACAGGACGTCATTACAATGTCAACGGAAAATCAAAACTTTACATATAAAGTACAAAGAAGTGACTGAGCACAACAACACAAGCAGTGGAGATCCGAAAACTATACTATTTTGGGATGAACAACACGAAATATTAGGTGGAAGGCCAGCATTCAATCCTCAAACACCTGTGTTTTTACTACATGTAAGTGAGAACACGAGCAGACAATTCAGCAGATTATCTAATATTTGCACAACAAAAAAACAGTGTAAACACTGGCGTTTTTTAGACATGTGATAACATAGCTATAGATCTGTTAAGTGAGATGTTAATTGCTACGTTAACACGACAGCATTTTATCAGAGCCCTATGGCTCGAGCCAGCAAAAACGACCGTGTGAACGTTTTGTGCTCGAGCCAAGTTCGGCTCCACTAAACCCTCGGGGTTGAACTCTGATAGGGTTGAGTCCCGACATGGCTCTGATCATGTAAACGCATCAGGGCCCAACTATCGGAGCCGAAATCATGCCCTCAATCGTCGCCTTCAAGTAACCTATCATTTCAATTATGGCGGGGACAACATATTTAGTAATTTCACGCAATATCCGGCTTGAAGAAGAGGTACGCGCCCTAATATACACTTGGCAGAGCAAAGAATTACTGCCACTGAGATTGATCGATAACTCAACGGGAAACGGGAAAAATGGCGTACGACATCATGCAACAAAAACTTGAAAGAACGACTGAACAGAAACTTTTTAAAGACACCAAAGAAAAAATCGTAGAAGCGATCTAATAGGTTTAGATTCTTCCACAGTCCTTCTATGATATATAGAGATGGTAGAGGGACTGTGATTCTTCATAGTACTAGCTGTTTAGATATCACTAACAGTTGAATAATTACAAACTGGTAATTTTGCATGACAATAAATAATAGGTTGTAACACATTTTAGCTGCCGTGTTTCTTGTTTATTCGAGGTACTAGTACATGTACCTAACTAATAACACTAGTGCATTGTCTTTTCTACCTCCATGCTCAGACTCGCAACTTTTTTTTTCTCCCAGCCCATCAGCATCGTGCCATGTAAAGAAACAACACAAACACAACACCAAAATCGATTTCCGTACAGTTTTTTCATACTCATTATTCGAGGGCACTGTTCTGTTTGGCTCTGATCGAACTGAATCAAACTCTGGCAGATCTCGGCTCTCGTTCGGCTCCCAACCGGATGAACGCATTGGAGATAATCTCCTGTTAATCAGTGGGAGGAGTAGTTCGGCTTCGATAGAATGCTGCAGTGTGAACATAGCAAATATTGATACCTTTCATGCTTTGTCTAAGATAATCACATAATCCTTCAAATGAAATCTGTTTTTACCTCACTTGAATATCACATAACTTACAAGGTATACTGTAGAACACTTTAATGTGATGACTATACAACTTAGCAAATTTTATAATTTTTAGGTTATTAACTAATTTTCACAAGTGAAATTCTGAAAATGACTCACTGTTTAAATAAGCTGACCAGACACAAGAAACATGAGTTTTTCACTGGCTCTCAAAATTCACAAAATAAGTTGCTCATGAAATTTAAGCAGTTTACAATACTTTTTTCGACTTGTAGAGAATAAAACTCTTGAAATAGAATTAAACATACAATTCACAATTTAGAAGGTTTTTTACCTGCCTCTGGGT